AATGGTTGTGGGATGATTATCCAGCTAGTGAGGGGTGGTAATTGTAATACCCGGTATTTATTTTATTTTATTTTATAATTTTTAAATAATTTTATTTAAGCCCTTAAAGGATTTAGATGTAAAAAGAAGGAATTAAGGGGTTTAACAATAAAGGAATCAAGAGTGGAAGGACTAACCAAAGAATTATAAACATTGTTACGAAAGCCTAAATAGGAAACGGTGCTAGGTGTTTGCAGAACTTCTGAAGTGCCGCCGCCCACTTTTGAAAACAAATAGGAAGGGGCTTCCGTCCTGTGGATGCCGGATAATTTGAATTGAGGGAATTTTATGGTAAGTTTCTTAATTATGTGTTAGTTATGTTTTTAGATCTAATTTAATAATTAAAAATGTAAATTGAAAGAGGAATTGAGGGAATTGAGGGAATTGTTGGGACATTATTTTCTGTCAGATTCAATTTTAACTAAATGACCTGCTATTTATAGATCCTTTCAATTTTAACAAAGAAAATAGTACAAAAGTCTTAAATAATTCAAGAGGTTGTGTTGAGTGGAAATTAATTAATTATTTAAGATAAGTTATTATACCCTTTAATATCTTTTTAAAAGATTTGTTTTATTAAAATTTATTTTACCTTTTCAATGTATTTTATATAATCTTATCTGGTTCCTATGTTTTAAAAATAAAAATATTTTATAATGAAATGAGATGAGTATTGATCAAGCATTTTGAGTGGGGATTGTTTTTTATCGAAGGGTGTTGTTTATTAAATTGGTAATGATTTTTAGTACTTGGTTTCATGTTCTTGGTTGGTTGGTTAACTTGACCCGTTCCTCAGGGGTATACCTAGGGTAATAATAGTAGTCTCGGGATCTATTTATCATGGAGTGTGATGAAGAGTGTGATACAATCTAAAGAACTTGTAATTGTTGTTTTCTTTTCATCTAGTTTGGAATGTGGTTTTCTTATTGTAAAGTTGTTTACTTTATTTAATTATTATTTTCATTGAAACATAATGCTTGATCGAACTAGATGGGTATACTGTTATTAAGCTGTCTAGCTTATGCTTTTAAAATCTCATCTCATTTCAGGTGCAGAAGAGTGAGCATTTGGGGTTGCATTTGGGAGTGAGAGACACAACGGTCCTAAAATAGCTCCTTGGTTTAGTTTAAGTTATTTCTGGATTTTGGAATATTTAAAAATGAAGACCTATTTGCTATGACTTATTGTTATGGGATTTTATGTTGGATTTTATGAAGTGAGGATCAAGTGTTTTGGATTTGATCAACTACTCATACATGTTAATAAAGATGGAGTTTTTTTTATAGAATTTAACGTTATTGCATTTGGATATTAAAAGTTGTTTAGTTCAACGTTTTAAAAACCGGATCGGCTTGGCCGGTTGAACCGGTCGAACCGGTATTCGGTATTAAAAATGGTTCGGTTCAACATTTAAAACCGGTAAAGCGGTTGAACCGGTCAAAACCGGTAAAACCGTTCGAACCGGTACAAACCGGAAAACCGTTCAACCGGACGGTTTAAATCCTTTGGAGGATTTACCTTAAATTTGCTACCCGGAGGCTTGAACACATGACTTCAAGAAGATTTTCTGTGACTTTTGCCACTAGGACGTTATCTCTTTGATTGAAATGATTTGCTAACAATTTTATTTATGTTATTTTTGAAAGAAAAGAATTGACGATGCCATCCAATAGAATCGAACTTTCTTCCTTCCCTTGTATCAATTTTGATGTTAAAATTAATATAGTGTTACTTTAATTTTTATCTTAAATATATAAATTAAAAGTGT